ACACGCTCAAAGACTGCTTTCTCTGGGGTTCTTGTGGCACAGTGATAATGCCCCATCTCTGAACAAGGAGGCCGGTTCAAGTCCCAACTCTTCCAGAGCTGTGAAAAACATCTCTCAACAAAGGTTGCCTCCAGCCCTCTAAATTAAACATACAATGTAAACACAATCATCTAATTCTCAGTTAACTATAGCCCAATTATTCACTACCACCCAATAATACAAATTCCAATCAAAGCTGTTAAAAACTTTAGGACAAAAGACATAATAGAATTGGGATCCCCAGCAGGCTGTATCTTTGACTCGTTGCCAAGATAGTTTCTGTGGTACAATGGCATTTACCACCAAGATCACACTCAGCCACGACCCTTTACCCCTCTGTAGATTTCACAGTATCTCACCTTTTCAACTTCCATTCACAAATCATCTCTGTTTACCACCCTCATCCACAGCTGAAAAGATTGTGGTGTAATGGTAATGCCAGAACTCCAGGCATTTAGGGACATGGGTTCAAATCCCACCATGGTAGACAGTGAAACCAGAATTCAACAAAACAAAACTGGAATAAAAAGCTAACATAATGGCAACCATGTAAATATTGTCAATTGTTATTAAAAAAAAACCCATCATGTTCACTAATGTCTTTCAGACAAGGAAATTTGGCATCCTAACCTGGTTGTGCCTGCATCCAGACCTACAGCAATGTGGCTAAATCCTAAATGCCCACAAGAGAATAAGGAATGGACAATAACCAACACTCACACACCATTAATGAAATGATTATTTGATGATTTTAACCACTATCTCAAATTTCTAATTCTCTGTCTCCTGAGTTCACTTCCCACTCATCCTCTAAAATCTCTGTGCATACTGTTTAACCCATATTCATGACCATGACATCTCAGTACTCTTGCTAATCGACCTCTGTTCACCTCCTTGTAGTACCTACCACCCACATCCTCCATCCTTTCCCAACCTCCTTCAGAAGCAGCCCTTGTAAAAGTATCATCCCCCAATGCAATTACAACTGCACTTCAAAATCCCAATTATCTAGCCTTTGTCCATCTAACATTTCATTTTTGCAACAGCTGATTTGCTCAACAATGCTTGCATCGCCATCTTTGATGCCTCAGATCTCAGAGAATTCATTACTCATTCTCACAAGTCATTCCCATTCCTCAGAGCAGACTTGAAAGATTACAGCTGACAGCTACTTACACCATCCACCACCAGATCTGGATGGAGCATGTAAACGACTATTGGGTCCTGGTCTCATCTGCAGAGATACCCCTTGGCTTCTTTTCTCTACAACTAATCATCACCTCAAACCACTCTCCATTCTATCCTCCACTGGGGCGGCACGGTGGCTCAGTGGTTAGCACTGCTGCCTCACAGTGCCAGGGACCCGGGGTTGATTCTACCCTTGGACAACTGTCTGTATGGAGTTTGCACATTCTCCCAGTGTTGCTTGGGTTTCCTCCCACAGTCCAAAGATGTGCAGGTTAGGTGGATTGGTCATGCTAAATTGCCTGTAGTTTTCAAGGGATGCCTAGATCAGTGGGGTTAAAGGGGGATGGGTCTGCGTGGGATGCTCCGAGGGTCGGTGTAGACTTGTTGGGCCGAAGGGCCTGTTTCCACACTAAAGGATTCTATGATTCTATCTCCAACAATTAGTCTGAAGGACTTAAGGTCTTCTTTGTTGCAAAGACCAAGACCATCTGATCATCTGGTTCAGACAGATCCCCCTTACTAGCTCTACTGACCAAAATTCCTATAAATCTACCCTCTGCCTTATCCTTCAACATGCATGTTTCTCTAGTTTTTCACACCCCCTCCAGGTTCAACTTGTCCAACAAACCCACTTCTCTTGGTAGTTTTCTGACTAAAACTCTGCTCATAGTCCCTACATTAATTTGCACTATTAATGGTTGTCCCTCTCTTTTAAATGTGCATCACCACTTCCCTCCAAAATAGCAACTTTTGACCCCCCACAACCCTTGTAAATAATCCCCTTCCTAACTACCTTACAACTTTCCACAGGAAAGTTTTCACCTGATGCAGTAGCAAAACTTGAGGTCATCCAAAATGCTGGTGGTGATGGCCTCACTTGCATTAAATCCTATTTACCCATCACTCCTGAGCTTGATGGCCTAAATTGACCTAGATTGGCTCTAGGTCTAATAGAATCTTGATGTTGAAATGCTCATCTTTGTTTCCAAATTTCTCCACAGCCTCACCCCTCCCATCTTTGTAATCACTTCCAGCCCAATTCTCCCCAATATCTAACTTTGGTTCCTTAAGCATCCAGCTACTAATCGCTCCACCATTTCTGGCTGTGCCTTCAGTTACCAAAGCTGAAGGCAAATTTCATCCTTTAATTCTTTTGCCTCTGTAGCTCATTTTGCTCGTTTAAAATGCTCCTTAAGATGATTTAGTTAATCTGGCCTTTGTATTAGGTGGTTTGATATCATGAAAATTAACTATGCATTGGTTACTTCATAATTTACATGAAGCAATGCTCAACATGTTATAGTTTAAGATTTAATTACTTCTATGACAATATTATCTTGATTGCTGACAAAATCAATGACCTATTGAAATGTGATCAACTGGCAAACATTTTGCATCCTACTGGTAAATTTCTCAGGTCAAAAGTGACTGAAACAAAAATTACATTATTTTGACATTTGATCAAATAGCCAAAATATGAAGACCACCAAATGAATATTTCCAGAAACCCCTCCAAAGTTAAAAGACAATCAAAATAAATGGCAAAGATCTTTGATTCAGCGCAAGTCATTTATTTACCTTATTCAATCCTTCATATTTCTCACAATCAGTATTCTTTAACCATTCCATGAGCTTCGCATATCTAAGTAGATCTCGATGGAAAGGCAGATGTTTAGGGAGAGACAGCTCAACTGAGTGCTGAGCTAAGGTGGAGCTCTGATCATGGCCCTAAAAATATAAGCACATAAATAATCCACTACTGCATTAAAGACAGGCAAAATCCTAATCAACTCATAATTTTTTGCATTGATCAGATATGACCTTGGTACGTTTCTGTCGCACTACATGTCAATCTTCTGAGCCACAGGGAATATTATAGTAAATTAAAGAAAAATAACAAAAAAAACAAACAAACAAAAAAAAAAATCATAACGAAACCCAATACGTTAATAGCATTATCATTCTAAAAGCTGCACCTGGCTAGTTACATTTCAAAAGTCACGCTGCCTTGTTTCCAACTCAAGTTATTACTCACCTAAACAATGGCTGGTAATAGGGGCAATGATCTTCTTCCTGCTCAAAATACTGAACTACTTGCTCCCTAGAACTGGATTCCAGTACCTATTGCTGATTGAAAACTTTGATCTATATTAACATTCATATTTACCATCAGTACAATACTTGATAGTTCTAAAACTTTATTTTGAATGCAATGCAATTTCAAATAATTACCCATAAAGTTAATTAAGAATTAATAATTTATTCTGTAACAATGATTATGATTCTATGATTTACTCTTGATATTGAATTTTGATTGACAAAGACAAAGAAGCCACCAAGTAAATTAACAAAAAAAAACAGATTTACACTGACGTACACTGAAATATACAGATTACGATAATGATCAGTTACAGCAAACTCTGAAGAAAATAAACAAAAATCAATAACAAATTATTTACTACGAAGATGTTAAAATGCTACTGCTGTAGCAGAAAAAAAGAACATTTTGTTCCTAAAATATTTATTTGATAATAAATGCATTGTTAAATACACAATCTCTCTATTTTGGTATTTTCAGTTTACAGTATTCAAAAATTTTTAATTGCTTTATCTTTCATAATTGGCAACTCATATCTTGTCTAATTGGTTTTGAGATAATAGGTACTCTTTTTTGGAAACAGTATATTGTGTACTGAAGCACAATTCTAGATTTTGAGCAAATAATTTCAAACTGACATCACCATATTGCTTCATTCCTGCATTGTAAACTTGGAGTCGCTGTTATTTAGTTGAACTACTTCCATCTGCTTATCCAGGATGACATAAGAAATCCTATCCCATTAATTCAACATGGAAGTGTTTTTCCAGGATATCTTCTTCAATCAACACCAAAAGTAATAATGATTTAATTCTTGTCTACACAATAGCAGCAAATATAATTCAAAACAATTCATTGGCTGCAAAGTATGTTGGGACATCATAAACAAATAAAACGCACAATTTAAACATAAGGACAAAGCAAATACTAAGGACACTGGAAATCTTAAACCGAATCAGAAAATGCAGATCAACAGATCTGGCAACATCATGGAATAAGATTCTATTGTCCAGGCCACTGGGGGTGGTAGGTATTCAGGGCGGACTAGGGCTGGGAATGCCTGTGATAGCACTCTGACCTTTTCTACTGGTCCATCAGCCTGTTTTCTACCTGCAGGTAGCCCATCAAATTCGGTACATTAACTGTGGCTTGGTCTCTCCACAGCTGCTGCCAAACTTGAATATTTCCAGTATTTTCTGTTTTGATTAAAGCATCTGTTCATATTTTCTATGATTTAATAATCTCAATTACTACATTGTCTATTACATTGAACTGATTCAAAATTACAATTACAATCATGTCCCACTAGCAACTCTCAGGTTGTTAAAACAGTGCTTGAGACAATAGAATTCTTCTTTATTTTGTGTTGCATCTTGCATTCTATCAGATAATCTGCACTGTGCAGACATTTTGAAACTCATACACTTACTTAGAAAATAATTCTCTCCCCACTTTAAAATGTCAAGTTTCCAATTGCACTCTGAAATTGCAATCCACTTCCTTGAACACAACTCTGAAGCAACTAATGTTGATTTCTTTGGCCTCGCATGAAGCAGTGAAAGCCCTCTGTTTAAAAAAAAACCTCATATTTCTGGGGGCAATACCTGAAAACCGTTCCTCCTGTTACACGTAAGCTCAATTACAAAAATATCCTGTTTGGGAATCCTAGTTTCAAGTTATCTTACCAAAATCAACATTGTAACAACTAGTTTACCAGTTACAATCCTTTCTATTACAGCTGCTTTCTAAAATGAACCTAAAAAGTGTAAAGGAAATTTTTATTCAGTAACTTGTGCAAGCCAGCCAAAGCAACAGCCACCTACCTGTAATTTTGGAATTTATCAAAAAATAAAATACCTTTTCCTTAAAAAAAAAGCAATTTAGCCAGCAGGATAATGCAAATAAGACACCAGAAATCAGTGCACATTCCATGCAATTTTTGTAGTACAAATATGAATTGCTAATGAAAATTTAATACAAATAGTTTTGTCTTAGTGTTTCACTGACTAAATTGAAACGAAAATTCCAGGTAAATTCCAGTCAATTCATTAACAAGACTAACAGGTTTATGGGACTGAAGTGTTCTATTTGACAGTAACAATAAATACAAATTAAGGGGATCTGTACACCATTGCTTTGAAATGGTCAGGCTGAGGTAAACCAGAAAAGAACATTTTGTTTGCAACTCCTTTGATCAGGAAGCCACAGGAGAGTGGTAATTGAAAACAGAACAATAGATTTTTCACTGCAATTTCAATCATATGCAAGAAGAGTTCTGCACTAATATATGCTAGTTTAGGAGCAAATTCTAAAGAATAACACAATATTGCGGAGAAAATGAGGGCGATAACGTTAAATTATTTTAATGTATTGTATCTAAACCCAGATATTGACAGTTATTTTTGTCTGATAGAGGGGCTTGGGTAAAGCAAAAGAATTGTTTAAAGAAAAAGCCTTTTTGCCAAAATTGTGCATCCGACACTTATCAGGATATCTGCAAGAAAACCAATGCAACTTTTTTCACATATTTTCTAATCAACTTTTTAAGAGATGCTATGACACCCCTCTGGAGCATGTGGGTCATGAACCCCAGTCACCTGGCTCAGAGATAGGAACACTGCCACTACATTACAATACTTGTACGGAAGAAAGCGCCATTTTGGTGTCAAGTAGACTTTGATTGGTAGACGTGTTGCCACGGAGATAGTATACCTGCTTCAGCATCAAAAGCAGGTGACAGCCATTTGCTGGTTAATTCCTCAGGATAATAAAGTGATAGTTATCTATCCAACAACTGAAATCTCTTGTCCGAATAGATTACTGATTACTACAGGAGTAAATAAAGTTAAAAAGTGATTCATCAAAGCTCTCTAAGAGTGAGCTTTTTAAGCTGCAGGTTAAAAGGAGCACGGTAAGTATCAGGGAGAATTCGTCTATGTAAATTTGGAAACCTGGTTCAAAGCGAATGCAAGACAGAGGCCACAAGAACATTCCTGGAAATTTGGTTCAACGTGCAACTTTGATATAGAAGGAAAAAGAGCTGCTTTAAGTAAGGTTTACTACAATAGGTCAGAACCCATCTGGTTCATGAATGTCTTTTCAGGAAGGAAAATGCCATCATTACCTGGTCTGGCCTACGTGCGACTCCAGACTTTCAACAATATTGATGACTTTTAACTTCCCTCTGGGCAATTAAGAATGGACAAATAATGCTGGTTTAGCCAGCAACATCCTCATCCTGTGAATGAATTTAGAAAAAAAAACTCAAAAAAGTGGGGTGGAAATAAATAAATTAGTGATAACTAGAGAGAGACCTTGGAAGTTAGCAAGGCTTTTGGCCAACACATTCTCTGGACCTGATAAGTTGCGCCCTGGAATAATTAAAGAAAGTAGCTAGAGATAGTAGATGCACTGGTATTAATCTTCCAAAAATCCTTAGATTCTGGAAAAGTCCTAAATGATTGGAAAACTACCAATGTAATATCTTAATCAAAAAGGATGACTAAAAGCAGATAATTATAGGCCAGTTAGGTTAACATCTGTCATTAGAAAAATATTTGTGTCTATCATAAAGGATGTAAATAACAGAACATTTAGAAATACTTACAACCAAGCAGCCAGCATGGCTTCATGAAAGGGAAATCGTGCCTTACAAATTTATTAGAATTATTGAGGTAACGAAGAGGATAGATAAAGGAATATAAGGTATTTGAATAGAGAATAGTGATATATTTGGATTTCCAAAAAGTTTCAATAGGTTACTATACATAAACATACTTAATAAGAGTCCATAAGGTAAGAGAAAACTTCTCTCTAATTTCTTTTCTTCGCGCATGCTCCTCCAACGGTAGTGCATGGTAGTGGTTTCAAGAATTTCATGTCATGCAGCAGCATGCTGATCAATGTATGCGGAGCTACCCATTGGTTACATGGCCATGCGATTTAGAGAAAATCTAGCATATAGAGGACTGGCTAACTAATAAACGGCAAAGACAGGGATGGAAAAGAGCATTTTCAGGACGGTAAACTATAGCTAAAGGAGTGCCACAGGGATCATTGCTGTGGTCATAGCAATTTACTATGTTGATTAATGAATTGGATGATGGAAGTGAACATACTATCAAAAGTTTGGAGACAACCTAAAAATAAGTGGAAAAGCAAGTGGTGAGGATGGTACAAATAGTCTGCAGAGGGAAATCGACATTAGGCAAGTGAGCAAATCTTGGCAGATGGAATACAACATGGAGAATTGTGAGGAATGGCAGGAAGCATAAAGGAGTTGAATGCTGCTGCACAGAGGGACATGGAGTCCTTGTGCATAAATCACAAAAGGCTGGCATACAAACTCAGCATGTGTAGGAATCCAATGGATTCTATTAGTGTGTAAACAGGCCATTCAGCCCAAAGAGTCCACACTGACCCTCTGAAGAGAATACCATCCAGACCCATCCCTTACCCCAAAACTGTAACCCTGCATTTCCTATGGTTAACGCACCTAACCTACACATCCCTGAACTCTATGGGTCATTTAGCATGGCCAATCCACCTAACTTGCACATCTTTGGACTGTGGGAGAAAGACAAAGCATCCAGCGGAAACCCATGCAGACTCAGGCAGAAGGTGCAAACTTCACACAGACAGTCCCCTGAAGGTGGGATCGAACCCGAATCCCTGGTGCTGAGACAGCAGTGCTAACCACTTAACAGGGAAAACAAATGGAACGCTGGCCTTTATTGCAAAAGTAATGGAGTATCAAAATATGGAAAAAGTCTTGCCAAACTATGCAAGGCACTGGTCAGTCCAGACCTAGAATACAGTGAGCGGTTTTAGTCTCCTTATCCAAGGAAAGAAACTAGCATTAGAAGCAGTCCAGAGAAGGTTCGCTAGGTTTGTCGCGGTCATGGAGGGATTATTTTATGAGAAAGGGTCAATAGGTTGGGTCTGTACGCATTGGAGTGTTGAAGCATATGAGATTCTTAGACAGTTTTACAAGATATACGCTGAGAAGTTGTTTCTCTTCATAGGAGTGTCTAGGATCAGAGAGCTTAACCTCAGAGGAAGGGGTATCCATTTAAGACAGAGTGGAGCACAAATTTCTTTTGGAAATATTCTGGTAAGTGCAAATGAAAAAAAAAACAAAATGTATTTTTTCCAGCAATACACAAGCTCTATGCTGTCAAAGAACTGCTTGTAAAGATAAAAGTGTTTGCATTGGCATGGCGCGACAGTGAACAGAGCATACAGAAATACAAAATACAATTGGCTGAAGATCTAGAGGGGATAGGAGGAGAAATTTATTTAGTCAGAGTTGTTAAGTTCTAGAACCAACAACCTAAAAAGGCTGTTAAAAGCAGATTAAATTACAATTTTCAAATGGTAATCTGATATACATTTTGAAAAGAAAATCCTGCATTGCTGTGGGTAACAGTACATTTTACTTTCTAATTTTATCACTGGTAAGTGTACAGACCTCCATTATAATATAAAAGTATTGTGCAATTGCCATTATAAGGAGCTAAGAATTTAGAGTGAAACTTCATCAGGATGCATTGAAAAACATTTGAACTAGTCAAAAACAATATTAACTATTTTCCACTGTGGTTTAATTTAATTTAAAAAAAAGTTAAAACAGAAAAAAACAACATACTACAATAGAAACTTTACAAAGCAAAGGGAAAGTGAAATATGGATCCATAGTGACATTGATCATAAACCCTCACGTAAGTTTAGGAATAGTACTTCGAGTTGCTAGGCAGGCATCAGCCATTATGAAGCCTTGAGTTTTGAGAAATGCAGTGATATAACAAGTTTTAGTGAGAGCTTAATGGTCTGCAGTTCTAAACTGCAAATATTTTACACTTTTGTTGAAGTGAAAACTATTGATAGTGAAACACAGTTAAAAACACTGCATTTAGTACTCAAAAGATTTGAAAGCTTGACAGGCAGCAAGAGCTGAAATTGTTCACCATGCTCGGCGTACTCACAGAAACTGAGTGGTAGGAGGCTCTGCGATAGTGCAAGGTGAGAGTCTGAGTAAACTGATTAAAAACAAAAAACATGAAATGAAAGCACGACGGAGAAAAATGAGAATCAATATAAAAATTTACCAGAACTAGAATACTGACAATGATAATTTATGGGAGCTAATTGGAAAACAGATCTGTCTTCCAACAAATTATCAAATTACAATAAAAGCAAGGCATTAAGCGTTCTTCGAATTTCTGAATTTCAGCCAGCAACCTGGCCAAAGACAGCCCTGTACAACTGATAAATTGCCACAAACTAAGAGACTTTATTTATAATGCAATTCAAACTAATTAAACATATGCATATGCCATATACACATACAGAATAATGATTAACACTTCATTTTCCTAAAGCTCCTTTTGGTATTTGTTTTGTAGTGTCCAATGGTGTCCACATACCTGCTGTTCACAAGTGGGCAGCATTGCATGAGAGAAAAGTGATGCTGAAACACTCACTTACCTGGAAGTAAAGACAGGAAACAGGTTTATTCTCTTGTAGTCTTTTACTGCGATTTTCACCCTTCCTTTGCTCCAATAGTATATTATCCTACCTAACAGTTAATTGTGATGAAGCAGATATAACTCCGCATTCATATTTGGGCAAAGCATATTTAAAAAGATAACATTAGCATGTAAAATCGCTTAGTTATAGTCTAAACTGTGCCTTTCAAGAACACATACTAAATAATTTAAGTGACTGATTTTTCCTGGTTGTCCTTGGAATGAATCTTGTTTTATATCCAGTTACCAACAAAATACGACTTCCATCCAAGCAACAGAGTGTAGACAGGTTATGCTAGAACATTGATGCTTTTGACATGAATGAAAAAACCAGCAGCTATTAATAACACTATCCTTGAAGCAATCCTGGAATTTCTCCACTTGTACAATTATGAAGAACAGATCACATGAGAAAATTAAGGGAGAAATTCAACTGAAAACCTGGGAGTTGTAAAGATTTTAAATAGAATAAAGGATCATCTTTGTTGAGGATCAGTTGTTCCAAACAGACAAAGACTAACCAAGTATATTAGAATGATGCATTCTGTCCAATTTGACTTCTTGTTTTTCCTTTTAAGATGAGCACCTTGGTTTCCATTTTCAAAATAAGCCTTGCCCTATTTTGGCCACAAAAATTCTTCAAGATGGTTTCTGAAAGGTCTTATTTGAATACAAACTTAGGGTCTTAACTATGACTTTTTCAGTCGACTATCGAAACTTCCTTCATCTCAACAATAAAACACTAAAAAAATTACTTTTAAGATGAATTTACACCATCCAATTATGCCTGGACGCAGATTATTTTTACGTTTTCATTTATTTCAAGATGTTACAAAAAACAAACACTTGTTTCTTCCTAGGTGAGCATTCCTAGACTTTGTGGTATTTGCCACCTCTATCAGTATGAGGGACTGGGTAAGCATGGGGGAGGTAGTTTGCTGTCACCAATCCTCCTTTGTTTTAGGCCTATCTTGGGTTAGTCATCATGCATAAGCCACTGTATAGAATCTACAGAAGAAATTATTTTAGAGGGAGGTTTATTGCAAGAGTCTATGACTCTATGATAACAATGAATACAACTAAATTAGGTCAAACATATTTACTCGGACCATAGGGATTTGGTGCAGATACATCTGCTCCCTTGGAAAGCTAGTGAAGAACTCCTCATCTCTACCTGCACTGTCAAACACATCAGTGGAATAAGTGGAGCCAACAAACAATACTCCTTCAGAACCATTACCTTATACATAAAGCGAAGTTAGATATCAGAACTTGTGTAGCAACGAGTTCGGGTTGACAACATCTTTCTCCAAAAAACATCATTAAGGATGTGTAATCAGAATTAAAGTCAGAAAATAAAACCTGTTACAACTGAAAAGTTTGATGAAGATTCAGTATTTGACATACCTGCTGGACAAAAACATTATTAAGATGATTGGCAAGTCTTCTAGCAAATTGCTCCCGAAGATCTTTGAACTGCTGCTGCTGCTGCTGCACTGCTTGAAGTTCATCATGTCCTGGTATAGATAAAAAGTAAATTAAGGTCAACATTTGAAGAAAAACTGTACTATGATCCCCACTTATAAATGGATTTTTGCCAAAACACCAGTTTGTTGAAACACAGAAAATTTGCCACACTTTTGAAGGCACTCCTTTCCAAAACCCCAAGATTTACCTTTTAAGGTGTCATATAATCAGTCACATATCCTTTCATTAAACTTTCATCCTTTAATTCAGTAACAGAGATTAAAACTTATTCAGAATCACAACTTCATCTTAATTCAACACAAATGTTGCATGACTTGTTTTTAATTGTTAATTGTCTATTGATAAACCACATATTTAAAACAAAAGACAAATGTAAGCAAGTAATTGAAGTACTTCACAGAACATGCTGATTGCTGAATTTCTGAAACTAAATAAATGTTATTTGTTCAAAATAACTAGTTTGGTTGAAAAATTTTAGTAACTCCTCAGTAAACCTAGATAGAATCAGGACAACTTAATCAACATTGAATGATATTACTGTCACTGAATCCTCTATCAACATCCTTGGGGTTACCATCAACCAGAAGTTTATCATACAAATATTCAACAGCAGGTCAGATCTATGAATGCTGCGAGTAATTCAACTCCTGACTCCCCAAAGCCTATCCATCATCTACAAAATACAAGTCAGGTGAGTGATGGAATATAGGAGTCGGCAACAGCCTAGTGGTTTTATCGCTAGACAATTAATCCAGAGACCGATGCAACATTCTGGGAGATAGTAGGAACTGCAGATGCTGGAGAATCTGAGATAACAAGGTGCAGAGCTGGATGAACACAGCAGGCCAAGCAGCATCAGAGGAGCAGG